ATATACCTTAACTTAACTTACTTTCAAACATTTTATCTAAGATTAAGCTTGAACATTGTTATATATTTTTTTTAATAAGTGGCTTTCTTCTATTGTCAATCAATTTCACAATAAACCATATTTATCTATATACCTTAACTTAACTCACTTTCAAACATTTTATCTAAGATTGAGCTTCAACATTATAATATTTTTTTGAATAAGTGGCGTTCCTCTATTGTCAATCAATTTCACAATAAACCATATTTATCTATATACCTTAACTTAACTCACTTTCAAACATTTTATCTAAGATTGAGCTTGAACATTATTATATTTTTTTTAATATGTGGCTTTCTTCTATTGTTAATCAATTTCACAATAATTCTCTCAGTGGAGAGCAACGCCGAATTCTCTCAATGGGGAGCGTAACTTTTCGATTTGGTTGATCTTGCTAGTAAATCTTCGATCTGGTTGATTTCAATTGAATTGCCTTCGATCTTTGCTGTTTCATTCTCGTTTTCGTTCTTTCCTTTCTGTATTCACTTCCTCATTGAGGGTTGAAATTAGGGTTTATCCCTGCAATGTCGCGACCTTCCGTCCTACTCATGATGAAGATCTATCTCAGCGAATGGAAAATTTTTCCCTATCCGACAGAGAAGCCTTGTTGGTCGATATAGCGCAAGATGATATTAAGGTCAGTGCTGACGAGTGTCACCGCAGTCTGTTTGGTAAAGTGGTGGGAGACCGACCAGCGAGTTGGATTGGGATCAAGCGCTCAATGACGCAGATATGGAGGCTTTCCCAACCTATGGAGGTTAAGGAGCTGGAACCTAATTACTTTCAATTTATTTTTCAAAGCAGAGACGACCTTAAATGGGTCAGTCATGGCACCAACTGGACGTTTGAGAACCAATATCTTATTCTTCGAGAATGGCGCTCTGGTCTGAACAGTAAGCACCCTTGCTTTCAAGAGCTCAATATTTGGGTTCAGGTAATGAATGTTCCTCTGAATTGGCTCTGCACGGACGTTGGCATTAAAATAGGCACTGTTTTTAAAGAAGTGGATAACGTGGTCATTGCTAACTATGGTAACCATGGAGGAAAATTTCTCCGTCTGCTTGTTACCCTCGATCTTACGGAACCAATTTCCAGATGTACGAAAGTCAGACTTGGAGAGGAGGTAGTTGCAATCAGTTTCCGGTATGAAGAATTAAGAAATCTGTGCCATTATTGTGGGTTCATAGGCCACTTGGAAAAGGGTGTCTAAGAAAGGTAGATGATATTAAAGGCCGTTGTCTCAAAGAAGGCCAATATGGTGATTGGCTTAGGGCTCCAGAAGGACAATATTGGGCTAATACTACTAGTCACAACTCAGGTTCAAGAAGTCCTCCCAGGAGTCCCAGAAGCTCCCCACAACCGACCTCCCCAACTCACACATCTTCTCAACAAGAGCACATGAACAGTCATACTTCACACAACAAACATCAGCTTATTGTCCACTCTGCTGCTTCTAGTCCAGTTTTGCAATCCACAGGTCTTGGTTCTTCAAGCAGCTCCCATACAGAACTCCAAAAGTCAGCAGGGGTTTCCAATACTCTTGCTATTCAGGAAGAATCCCTCAGACCTATGGAAATTGAAGCCAGAATTCTTTCTCCAGCAACTGTCAACCCTTCTAAAGTTCTTGATAAGAGTAAAGGTAAACTCACAACCTGGAAAAGGGTAGGGGACAAGGAAGGCAGGCTTGAAAGACAAGAAGTTTCTCCTACTCAACCAACATCTATAACCATTGGGAAAAGACTCAGAACAGAGAACTTATCTGAGGAAGAAACTGTTGGGGATCATATTTCGAAGGGCATTGAATCCAAGAAACCTAAAATTTCCTCTGATCAGGTGGGGGTGGCCAGCCTCGAATGGCACCCGAATTCCAAATGTTAGCTGCGGTGTGGAACTGTAGAGGGTTGGGTGGTCCCTCTACAGTTTCCCAAATCAGAGGGTTGATCAGAACCCATCATCCAGCTTTTATCTTTTTGTCAGAAACTAAAAAATCTAATGCTTTTGTTAAGTCAGTTA